TGCCCTGCCCTAAAGGCCCGCCGCCCTGCTGGTCGTCGAGTCACCCCTAGCAGCCTGTCGCGTCGCCCCTAGCAGCACGTCGTGTCGCCCCTAGCAGCTCGTCGAGCCGCCCTTAGCAGCCCGCGAGCCGCCTCTGCAGCCAGGGCGCCGCCCTTGCAGCCCGCGCACCGCCCGTGCAGCCCGCTCGCCGCCTGCTTGCGGCCCGCCCGCCGCCCTTACGCCCTGCGCGCCGCCCCTTGCAGCCCGCTCGCCGCCCGCTTGTGGCCCGCTCGCCGCCCCTGCAGCCTGCGCGCCGCCCCTTGCAGCCCGCTCGCTGCCCCTTGCGGCCCGTTCGCCGCCCCTTGCAGCCCGCTCGCCGCCCCTTGCGGCTCGCTCGCCGCCCCTTGCAACCCGCTCGCCTCCCTCTGGCAGCCCGCTCGCTGCCCCTGCAGCCCGCTCGCCGCCCCTTGCAGCCCGCTCGCTGACCCCTGCAGCCTGCGCGCCGCCCCTTGCAGCCCGCTCGCCGCCCCTTGTGGCCCACTTGCCGCCCCTTGCAGCCTGCGCACCACCCTCTGGCAGCCTGCTCGCTGCCCCTTTGCGTGCCCGCCCTGCTGCTGGCCACCCTAGCCGTGCGCCGCCCTGCCCTTCCTGCGTCCTGCTCTCCTGGTAGCGCGCCACCCTACCCTGCCCGCTATGGCTTCTCTCTGTGTACTCACGTTCGATCATGAGGGTCGTCCGATCCAGTTCGATACGTGGCTCGACGACTTACAGCTGTACCTACTGAGCGATTCTAAAGACAACGTTTTGTTGTTTGACCACACGTCTGGAGACTCTCTCGCCCCTCTCACCAAAGATGACAGTGCGACTCGCTCACAGCGGCTTACCCGTGACGCTGCTGCTCGCTTAGCCGTTCGCAACCACCTGCCGTTAGCCAAACGCGCTCACTTCGGACAGCACAAGACTGCTAAAGCACTGTACGACGCTGTAGTCGACCGTTACTCCTCCCCTGCCAATGCTGCTCTAGGCCGTCTTATACTGCCTTACCTGTTTCCCGAGCTGTCCACCTTTGCCACAGTAGAGGACCTCGTTACCCACCTTCGCACTAGCAACGCTCGCTACCGCGCTGCCCTCCCAGCAGAGTTCCTTGACAGGAACCCGCCCTCGATGTACATCACTCTCTACTTCATAGTCACCCACCTCCCTGACTCTCTTCGCGCTATCAGGGACCACTTTCTTGCACTTGACCCCACAGACCTCACTATTGACCTACTCGAGCAGCACCTCCTTGCAGCTGAGACTAGTGTAGTCACTGTAGGTGCCGCTCGTGGTACTCCTCGCATGCCCTTCTTTGAGGGGTGTTCCCCCTCCCCCCTTGCCCCCTCCTACGCCTCTGCTGCTGCTGTTGACGTCCTTGGTGCTGAGGATGTCGGGGCTGCTTCTGCTAGTGGGAAGCGCCGCAGCACCAAGGGCAAGGGTGGCAGGAGTAGTGCAGGTGGCAGCGTAGTGGGGGCGGCACTGGAGGTGGTGGAGGTAGTGGAGGTGGTGGCAGCGGTGGGAGTGGTGGTGGGAGTGGGGGCTTTGGTGGCGGTGGTGGTGGCAGCGGTGGGAGTGGCGGTAGTGGCGGCAGTGGGAGCGGTGGCAGTCGGGTTGGAGCTGCTCAGCGGGGAGGTTCTGGCGGTGGCCAGAGGCAGCAGCAGCAGCGTCGGAGCGAGACCCCTTCGCCCCAGCAACTTCGTGAGTGGTTTGCTCAGCGTGGGGCGTCTGGGGGTAGTGTTCAGTGCCTGTATGTCATTCGCACAGGTGACCGTGCCGGTCAGACATGCGGGAAGCCTCACTCTCAGCACAGCTGCTTCTCCCGCCTAGACGACGCTTGGCGCGCAGAGTTTGGTGACGAGGCTGAGCGCCCCCGCTGGGTAGAGCTGCTTAGGTCTGGAGTTGATATCTTTGTTCTTGACTATGATGCTATCCTTGCTGCAATGTATGCCTTGTCTATTAGTGCTGAGGGTGACTGTTACCTGTGTGTGCCGCCCGACCCAGGTATAGAGGCTGCTGCTCTAGGTGCTAGTGAATATGCGCTCCCTGGTATTGCACTTTCTGAGGCCTTGCACACATTTACACTTGACTCAGGTGCTTCCCGCTGTTTCTTTCGAGACAGTACCACCCTCACTCCTCTCTCTGCACCTGTACTGGTCAGACTGGCTGACCCCTCAGGGGGCCCAGTTCTTGCCCGTTCCTCCACTATTCTCCCGTGTCCGGCGGTTCCGTCCGGCTCATTGTCAGGTCTTCACCTCCCCTCGTTCTCTACGAACTTGGTGAGTAACGCTGCCCTCCAGGATGCGATGGTCACTACCACCACTCCTGGGGGTCAGCGTGTGTCGATCTGCGCGTGTACACGGACGGGCCGTCACCTGGCCACGTTCACCCATCGGCCTGGGTCGAGTCTGTACACACTGGCTACCGAGCCTCCTCAGGTAGCTGCGTAAGCCCAGGTGTCCGCGTCAGGTCCAGTTGCACCCCCCTGCTCGTGTCGCCTCCTGTCGCACCAGACTCTCCTGTGGCACCACCGCCTTGGTCACCCCTCCTTGCCACGCCTTCGTGGTATGCACTCCCGTCTCCTTGTCTCTGGTCTTCCCAGGTCCCTGCCTCCCCTCCCGCCCTCGCCTGCCCCGCCCTGCCTTCCTTGCGTCGAGGGGCGGCAGCGCGCCGCTCCTCACTCCTCCTTGTTTCCCCCGACGACTGCTCCCTTGCAGAATCTCCACATGGACGTGTGGGGCCCAGCCCGCGTCAGTGGACAGGGCCGCGAGCGCTACTTTCTGCTGGTTGTTGACGACTACACGCGTTACACCACGATCTTCCCCTTGCGCAGCAAGGGTGAGGTCCCTGATGTCTTGATCCCTTGGATCCGCGCAGTCCGTCTCCAGCTCCGCGAGCGGTTCCGCCAGGACCATCCTGTTCTGCGTCTGCACTCTGACAGAGGTGGTGAGTTCTCCTCCGACCTTTTGAGGTCTCCGCCAGGCGCCTCGCGAGTGGCACGACACACTGAGGACTACGCTTGCGGCTCTTGGGTTTGCTCCTTCGACTGCTGACCCGTCGCTGTTTCTACGCACCGACACTTCGCTGCCGCCGTTCTACGTCTTCGTGTACGTCGACGACTTGGTCTTTGCCACTGCTGACAGTGAGGCACAGGCCCTTGGGAAGTCGGAACTGCAGAAGAGACACACCTGCACTGACCTGGGTGAGCTGCGCAGCTATCTTGGCTTGCAGATCACCCGGGACAGAGCACAGCGCACCATCACCCGCATTCAGTCACACATGGTGCACCAGGTTCTTCAGCGCTTCGCCTTCCGGTACTCCTCGCCACAATCCACTCCTCTGCCTACTGGTCACTCGCTCTCAGCTCCACCTTCGGACGAGTCTGTAGAGCCGAGTGGCCCGTATCCAGAGCTTGTGGGCTGCCTCATGTACCTGATGACCTGCACTCGACCTGATCTTGCCTACCCTCTCAGCATCCTGGCACGCTACGTTGCGCCCGGGAGACACCGACCAGAGCAGTGGGAGGCCGCTAAGAGGGTGTTGCGCTACTTGTGCAGTACTTCGGGCATGGGGTTCGTGCTTGGAGGACGGGGTCCAGTTGTTCTCATTGGACACGCAGACGCTTCTTGGATTGACGACTTGGCTACGCAGCGGTCGTCACATGGTTACACCTTCAGCCTTGGTTCCGGCTCTGTTTCCTGGTGGTCTACCCGCTCGTCTTCGGTTCTCAGTTCCAGTTGTGAGGTTGAGATCTACGTAGGGGCCATGGCTGTACAGGAGTTACGCTCGCTCACCTACCTGCTGACCGACTTGGGAGAGCAGCCTCGTTCTCCTCGACCCCCATCATATGTCATGCACCAGCGGCTGCATTCAATGCGATGCCCTTTTTCTCCTCATTTCCTTCTTGCTCGTGTCTTTGCTTTCGTCACCCCCGCTTTCCCCATATGCTGCTGCACCCGCCAGGTGGACGACTAAGAAGCCTTGCAGGTGGACAACATAGGACCTGGGTATATATAATGTATTTATTGATTTGTATTTTTTTTACTGACAATTGGCATAGAATATGTTTTTTTTTTTCGAGATTGCAGTACTGTAATAGGTTTTGTTGTCTTGAAGTGAAGTCTCACAAACAACCAAGCATAAGACAATTTGTTCATATTGGATATGAATGTACTGACTCAGTGGACTCGCGCAAGACTCAAGAGTTTGGTGTGCGCAGTGCACTCCAGTTCAGCCTCACGAGTCTTAGCACTGCAATTGGTGGGGCGACAGCACAGCAGTGCCGTCGCACACTGGATCGTTAGCCCCACCCTGATTCTCGGAAACAGCAATCGCACAGTGGCGTGGCGAACCCAAATTTTCATCGCCTCTCGAATACGCTTTCGCCCCGCATAGATTCTCGAAATTATTGTTTTTAAGATTTCGCCAACAGTATTTCAACCTCACATAACTTGAATAATTACCATGCTGACCTCGGGCTTTAATGCGTGTGGGGGGGGCAGGCAACGCTTTGTGTCTGACATAAGGTTAAGTGTATATGCATATCAGCAACATAAAAAAATACCAGTCATAGTGTACACGAGCATGCTTTGCAATAAAACTCTCTATAACCAACTCCCAACAGGCAGCACAAGGAGAGGTAGCCCCACCGGCTGGTCACTTTTGCTGCCTACACGGCAGGGTGCTTGGCAGCAGCGCTGTGTGTGTCACACCATGGAAGTTGGAACACAGAGAATGAGACGTGTTGGGGCGCCAGCTGGGCTTGCTGCACTTGCTGCCTACAGGGAAGGCCGCCTGGCAGCGGCGCTGTCCAGCCATGCCACACACATGCCTAGCGCCTGGCATAGGGGCACTAGGGCACGAGAGGGAGTGCAGGGGAGGCACTGCAGCACTACGCGCCAGGGCGCCTGGCAGCAGCACTGTCAAGGCATGGCACACACATGCCTAGGGCTTGTGGAAGGGGCATATCAGTGCTTGCAGAGGAGCTGTCACAGCGTGCTCATGAGACGGCTTGCGCATGAGACGGCTTGCACATGAGACGGCTTGCACATGAGACGGCTTGCACATGAGACGGCTTGCACATGAGACGGCTTGCACATGAGACGGCTTGCACATGAGACGGCTTGCACATGAGACGGCTTGCACATGAGACGGCTTGCACATGAGACGGCTTGCGCATGAGACGGCTTGCGCATGAGACGGCTTGCACATGAGACGGCTTGCGCATGAGACGGCTTGCGCATATCACAGGAGAGGGCTTGTGCCACTTGCTGCCTACACGAGAGGGCGCCTGGCCTGGCAGCAGCACTGTCAAACCATGCCACGCACATGCATAATGCTTGTAAAAGTGGCATATCACAGGAGAGGGCTTGTGCCACTTGCTGCCTACACGAGAGGGCGCCTGGCAGCAGCGCTGTCCAGCCATGCCACACACATGCCTAGCGCCTGCAGGGGAGAGACTGCTGTGGTATCCAGAGACAACAGATACACCCCCCCTCCGACTGCTGCTGCTGCTGCCTCTCCTGCAGCCGCTGCTGCTGCCTCTCCTGCTGCTGCTGCTGCTGCTGCTGCTGCTGCTGCTGCTGCTGCTGCTGCTGCTGCTGCTGCTGCTGCTGCTGCTGCTGCTGCTGCTGCTGCTGCTGCTGCTGCTGCTGCTGCTGCTGCTGCTGCTGCTGCTGCTGCTGCTGCTGCTGCTGCTGCTGCTGCTGCTGCTGCTGCTGCTGTTGCTGCTGCGTCTGCATCACGTGTTGCTACACCCGTTGCTGCACCCACTGCAGCTGCAGCTGCACCTGCTGTTGCTGCTGCTGTGGCTAGCATTCCAGGCGCACTCACTCTCCTGCCCTGCCCTGTTCCCTCACCCCCACTGCTCCCTTCCCCTCGTCCTCCTCTCATCCTCACCAACCGCACCACACATTCCCCTGCTGCTCCCTCCCCACCCCACACCCTCTCCCCCTCCGCTTTACTCTGCAGCCGCACCTCCAAAACAGCCCCGCTGCTGCCGCCACTGCTGCTGCTCCCACCACTCCCTCTCTTCTCACGGCCAACGCCAGCACCAGCGCCAGCAGTACCAGAAGAGTGATGTGCAGCAACAGCAACAGCAGCAGCAGCGCCACCCACGTGAGCCACCAGCATCACATTCCGAACTTGCTCCGTGCCTTGGCTTGCCTTGCTCCCTCCACTCCCTCCCCTTCCGCTTCCCCCTCCCTCTTCACCGCCCCCTTGCCCTGCTGTGCGCCCCAGCCCTGCCAGCAGAGTGCACTCCATCACCCACCCGCTGCCGCTGCCGCTGCTGCTGCTAGTGCTGGTGTTGGTGCTGCTGGTCCACAGGCGGGGCATGCCGTGGGGCACTGCAGAGGGTGCAGCAACAGCAGGGGAGGCAATGAACCGAATCAGCGCCTCTGCCTTGCCTGCCAGCTGCACACTGCTGCTGCCACTGCCACTGCCACTGCCACTGATACTGCTCCCAGTGCTGCTTCTGCCAGCACTGGCGCTGTGGCTGCGGTTACCACTAGGGTTACCAGATGTTCCTGCTGCCACCCCTCCTCCTGCTAGTGCAGCCACCACCAGAGGACCAGACTTGAATGCAACTGGTGCCGCTGCTGCTGCTGCTGCTGCCACTCCTGGCAGCGCCAGTGGCCCTGAGAACGAGGCTGATGGTCGCATGTGAGGGGCGGCAGCATCCTGCACGCCCAGAACCACGGCTGGCACATGTGCGTGCGGATGGGTGTGTGGAAGCACGAGGGCATGGGCATGGTGAGATGGATGGCCGGTGTGCAGTGAGGGCATGGATGCAGACATTCTCAGCAGCGCACCACTGGCACCACCGGCACCACCGGCACCACCGGCACCACCGTCACCACCGTCACCACCGTCACCACCGTCACCACCGTCACCACCGTCACCACCACTGGAGCATGCCGTGTCCTCTGTGGAGTCAACCAAGTCAATGGCGCCCACTGAGCCACCTGAATCACATAAATCACCCGAGTCAACCGAGTCAACAGCATCAATAGAGTCATCGTGCTGCTCACAGCCCTGGACGATCCCCCCACCCCCCCCGTCCCCACCGCTTCCCCCGCTTTCCCCGCTCCCCCCGCTGCAACAGCTGTCCTCGCTGGCAGCTGGCCCCTCCTCCTCCTCCGGCCATGGCGTTCCCTGCACCACGCTGGATGATTTGTTTTCCCCTGCCTGCTCTTCCCCTGCCTTGTGCGCCCCGCTGCCTACGTCAGCACCACTGCTTACGTCAGCAACACTGCCCACGTCACTTCCGCCCTCTCCCGCCATCCCCACTCGCTGCCCCTCCTCCCCCGTCCCCATGCCCCATTCTTCCACCTGCCCACTCCCCACTCCCTTCCCCTCTGCCCCCTCCTCAACATCCCCCTCCCCCGCCCCTGCTTCTTTCCGCCATCCCAGGTCCCCAGACCCCCCCTTCTCCTCCGCCTCTCTCCTGGCTCCGCCGTCTCCCCATTCCCTGTCCGCCTTCCCCGCCGCCCTGCTCCGCGTCCCCTCGTCCGCGCCCGCGCCCCTCTCTCCCACCCCCCACGCGTCTACCCACGCCCACCCGCTCCGCCTGTCCCCGCTCGCCCTCCCCCAACTGCCCACCACACCCCCGCCCACCCGCCACCTCCGCCACCCCCGCCCCCGCCACTGGCCCCAGCAGCACCGTTCCCCCGCACGCCCGCACCCTTTATGGCGCGGAAAAACGCGGAAGCAGACAAGCTCTCCGCCCCGCCCTTGAAGCTCTCTGCGCCGCCCTTGAAGCTGTCAGCCGCGCCTCCGCGTCCGCGCGCCGTCCACCTGGCGCTGCCCCACAGCTGTGCTCCGCCACCGTGCAGCGCGGCCTTGTCTGGAGCCGCCGCCTCGTTACTAGCACACTCTTCGCCGCTCCCCTGCGCGCCCCCGAAGACACGCCACAACGCGTTGCTCGTATTCGCACCCGCAGACGCACTCCCACTCGCACTCCCTTTATAATCACCTGCGCCGCACTTCAAGTCCCCGTTCCCAATTCCCACAGCTTCTCCCTCGCTATTGTCACCCCCCTCGCGGCGCTCTCCCTCCGCGTGCGCCCCCGTGCTTCCCCGCGCCGCCAGACTCGCCACCTGCGGGCGGGGGGCGACGGGCGGGTGCGGCGTCACGCGGGCTTGCTTCCACACGGCGACGTGCAATACACTAAAGCGAGTCTGCGTATAGAGGGGACGCGGGCCTACCTGAGCCCAGGATAGGCCAAACGCGCCGTGCGGCCTGCCTTTCTCCGTCAATCGCTCCGCCCCTTCCCTCTGCGACACTGCTCTCTGCGACTCTTCCCTCTGCGACTCTTCCCTCTGCGACGCTTCTTCCTGCGACTCGCTCTGCTCATCGCCCGTCGGTTCGTCGTCGCCCTTCGCTCGCGCGCTTCCTGCCCCTTTCCGCACGTTCCACGTCAGCCATCCCCCAGCTGCTCCCAATCCCCCTATTCCCCGTCCCCCCACTCCTCCCGCTCCTCCCCATCCTCTCGCGCCGTCATCCCCCCCGTTTCCGCCGCCCCTGTCGCCCTTCGCGGGCAGTCATCCAATCAACAGCGGCGCGAAGGCAGCTCGCGCTGAAGCCACCTGCCGGGGAGCCGCGTCGGCGTTTTCAGAGGCACGCGCATCGCCGTCGATCAAGGCGCCACCGGCGAGGCTGGACGACGCACGATCGACATGCGACAACCCTCTCGCGAAAAGGAAATCACCATGCGACAACGATCTTCCCTTCTTGCGACGAAACCCCTTGCCGGATTTAGAATCTCTGCCCGCCTTTCCTCCCTTGCCGGGAGCATCCGCTTTCTTGCATCCGCCGCGCGGCGGCGAGATTTCCTCCCCCGATGCGCTCCGCGCTCTCCCCCCACTCTCTCCGCCTCTCCCCCGCCCTCGCGCCCGCCCTCGCTCATCGCCCGCATCCCGCTGCGACCTGCTTGGGGTAACATCGTCGTAGCTGCTGCTTCGTTGCATTTCACCGTCGCTGGTAACTGTTCCGTGCGGTTTGCTACTAATGGTACCATTCTTTGTCGTTGTGGATCGCGGCGTGCATGACGCTAGAATGAAATGCGTGCCGCCGTAGTTCCCTCGCACGCATCCCACCACCTCGCCTGCGACTCGAAACGAGTCATCTGAGCCGAACGGTGACGCAGCAGACGGCTCTGCTGACGTGTCAGTACGTGGCGTCGCGTGGTCGCGGATGAGGTACTCCGACGACGAAGGCGACGCCGCGTCGCGCGGCTGTCGTACCGCGGTGAGAAAAACGGCGCGATCGTGCGGCGCGGCGAGGAATTGCGAGAGAGTGAGGACCGAGGGCGAGGCGGATAGAAACGAGGGAGCCGCCGCGACTAAGGAGGGGGAGGAGGCATGCTCAGCGTGGACTTGCAGAGTGAAGTGCGTCAGATGTGCCATGTGGCACTTGCTGATAGGATGACAGAGGCTAAGTGTTAGGGATGATCTGATATGGCATACGGTAAGCGTTTCAAGCTGAGGAGTATCAGTACACTAGCATCAAAACGGAGAGATCAGGATTTTCCGTAGAGGCGGACAAGGCGGTAAGGATTGAAAGACGACGGGAAATAACATATTTTTTTTATACGATGGCGAAGACCACTCTAGACTTGGTCATATCAGCCATGACTGACGTCAGGTGCAATACCAATTGCGCGGGATGAGCTGATTGCCAGTTGCCAGGAAGTGGAGCATCCGTCAGCCCTTTACCGAACCAGCAGGGGCTGTTGGGTTATGGCTTGAGGGGGCGTGTTTTCCAGAAAGGGAGAGTTGTTGAAACCACAGCAAGGAATCAACTGGCTTACTGTATAAACACCAATCATTCTCTAAGCAGCGAAACACTTTGCTTTCCTCCAAAAACTTTCAAATTTCAGGGATGAAACTTTCCCGATTGCAACCTGGTGGAAAGGGAACTCAGAGTGACGGCTCGAATTTTCAGTGCCCCATTTTGGCATGCGATTTCACACAACTTCAAGCCGCCATTGTCACGTCCACATCTCCCTCCACCTTCTGTCTGGCGATGCTCCAAGTCTATCGCAGGCGACTCTGGGAGTACGTCAGACACACACTTCCCGCCTTCCGCCCTCGCAACCTGATCGCAAAACAACACAATTGACGAGTCAGCAACGACAGTCAGAAATTGCGGCGACGACTTCGTTGTGCGTCTGTGACCAGAAATGAAATATTAGCTTTACATCATCCATCTCTCGAAATAAGTACAGACCAGTACAACAAACGGGTACAGTACTACATTACTGTGAACAAATCACCAGCTTTTCAGCCAATGGAGACCATGGAGCAATCGCGTCGCGTTAGTCACAGGCTGGTTTTGTACCCCGTAGTAGCAGCTACGCTAGGTATATGCTGCCACTAGTTATGGATTGACACTCTCCAGGTTTACGCGCTGAGCACAACTACAATGGATCAACGTCTAGCAGTTTTACACCTCGCAATGAGTGTGAACTTAATGGTGAGTAAATACGACGGCGGCGTACAGTGCTTCAGTAACGGAAAAATATTGCTGGTGGAAGGCTGCTCGACTCCAGATCAGACCAACATAGAAGATCCCGGCAAGTTCACGCACACAGTGCTCATAGCAATTCGTTTTCAGCCAAACGTAGCACGTGACGGCTTTGCTCTCATCTCCTTTCACCACACTGAAACGTACTAAACCGTGGCAGGACTCTGGGAACCCAGCGAATACCCATGCCAATTTCACCACGGATGAAAACGGGTCGGCCCGAAGCAGTGGTTGCAGCGCAATTTGCTTGCCATAGAAGCTTGCAATTCCAAGATTTTGCAGAGTTAGCGCTATTCCCCTATCCATCCATGATAGGTGCTGCCATGGCTGTCACCTCCTCGACCTCGATACCGCACGGCGCGCACCACCGACGCGTGTGGTCGCTCATATGCTGCCGCAATCCCGCCACGCACTCGTTTTACGGCGACGATGCCGACACGGAGAGTAGCACTCGCGGAGATGCGCAGCCCGCAGCAGCGCCCGCGGAGAAGCTGGCGGAGCCGGCGCAGCAAGTGCGAGACGACGATGGAACTCCGTTCCTATCACTGAAGGGAATGACGGAAGGCGCAGTTACAGGGGGTGCGTCACGCGCTAAATCGGCAGCAAGAGATGGGGAGTCATCCATGACTTTATGCGACGCGCCGATCGATGATGGAGCAGGGGTCGCGTCATCATCCGACCTTTCCAGCAGCGTATCCACATCAGCACCGCATTCCGCGTTTAGCGCCGCGGGTTCCCCCTTTCGAGCATCGTCCGGTTACAGAGAGTCCGCCGCATCTGCCGGTGCCACGCCTCCGCCGGAAATTATGGACATGTGGAAGAGCCTCGAAGCCCCGACATCGCCTAAGAACGGTTCCGCCGCGCCTCGCAAGATGCGCGCCGCGCATTCCGCTGACGCCTCATTTCTCCGCTTGCACCACGCGGCTGTGCGCGTGGAAGTTCCGCCTTCTCCGGCGAATCTCTCGGATTCCGCCGTTTCGCCAACAAACTCTGAGGCAGGCGTGCCACGAACTCCGGGCGGCACTTATTTGTCGTTCTCGACCGCCCCCTCGCCCCGCACCCTGCAATGCGCGTACTCGCTACAAACCGGCGCGCTTATCGTCACGCCCAGCCCCTCCGGTTGGGCGGCGATTGGCGGAAACGGCGGGGCACCGGAGAGCGAGAGGCCGCACACTTCGCCGGGGGGAACGCGGAAAACGGGGGGAATTGTGGGGTGGGAGCAGGAGGCGCGGCGGTGGGAGGAGGCGGAGCAGCAGCGGCTGCGCGTGGAGGGGGAGGTGCGCGGAATGGTTGCGCACCTAATGGGGCAGCTGCGCGCGGTAAGGGGATCGGCGCAACAGCTGGCGGGACCCCTTTGCGCGGATGCGACGGAAAGCTGTGGGGAGGAAGAGATCGCGGGCGGCGGAGAGGGAAGAGCGGAATGCGCGGGAGGCGCTGAAGAATTGGCGGCGGTATCGGCGGCAGCGCGCGCGGTTCGGCTGCTGGTGAAGAGCAGCGACGCGAATCGCAGCATCGTGGCGGCTGTGCCGGGCGCCATCGGCGCGCTCGTGGGGGTGGCGGACGCGCTGCTGCTGGCGGAGAGCGCGCGGATCCGCGGAGCTGAGGGGCTGAAAGCGCGCGGAGCTAACGCGGCGGCCGAGGCGGAGAGGAGAAGTGAGCGCGGGCGGAGGAGCGAAGGGGAAAAAGCAGCGGCGGGGGCAGTGCGGATTGTAGGTGGGGCAGAGGAGGGTTCGGGGACGGAGGGTGGGGGAGGCGCAGCAGCCTGCGGGGCGATCGTGGCGGGTAGAGGGGAAGCGGAAGAGGCCGAAATGGCGGAGACGGTGGAGGCGGCGGAGGTTGGGCAGGTGGGCGGGGCAGCGCGTGCGGAGAGCGCGCAGGAGGCGGTGGGCGCGGAGTGCGCGTGGAGGGAGAGCGCACGGGAGGAGGTGGGAGCGGAGAGTGCGAGGGAGGCGGTGGGGCATGCGGTGACGGCGTTGCTGAACCTGTCGCTGTCGCCCGCCACTCACGGCGCCCTGCTGGCCGAGGGCGCCGTGGACGTGCTCTCCCGCCTCGTGGCCCGCCCATGCTCCCCTCATGGCGGGGGTGGTGGCGGCACTGCTGTCAGCGGTGGTGATGGAGAGGGGAGGGGGGGGAACGGGTGCAGTGGGGATTGCAAGGGAGAGGAGGGGGAGTGCTGTCTGGCCGATGAGGGGTCAGCGGGGGCAGGGGTGGTGTCATCGGTGGTGTCATCGGTGGTGTCACAGGAGGCACGGGAGAATGCAGCAGCTGCTCTCTTCATGCTCACCTCGTCCCCCCTTCCCCCCTCCCTCTCCTCTGCACACTCTACCTCTCTCTCCTCCTCCACCTCCTCCCTCACCGGCCCTTCCCTCTCCACTGCCCACCTCGCCCTCCTCTCCTCTTCCTCCCCCCAGCAAGAACCGCCCCCCACTGGAACTCACACCTCAAACCCCAACGCAACTCCTTCCGATCCGCCGAACACCGCTCTGAACCCCTTTGGATGCGACCCGGACGCGATGCGGCGGTGGGTGGCGGCCACGCCAGGCGCCATCGCTGGCCTGGTGCACATGCTGCCGCCCTCGCCCGCCCGCTCCCTGCGCGGCCGCAAGGACGCCGCCCTCACACTCTTCAACCTCTCCCTCTGCGCCGACCTCGTGCCGGCCATCATCGCGGCCGGCGCCGTTTGTCCGCTAGTGCGGATGCTGGAGGAGGAGGGGGGGATGCGGCTGGGCCTGGAGGAGAAAGCAGCAGCCGTGCTGGCGCGGCTGGCACAGGCCAAGGAGGGCAGCAGGCAGATCGTCGCTGCCGGTGGTATACCACCGCTGGTGGAGCTGCTAGGGGCGAGCAGCACGGCTCTGGGAGCTTCCCCATCCATGGCTTCTCTGGCAGAGCTGAGTGCCGTGTCAGAGGAAGGGCCGTGTGGGGGAGGGGGAGGGACGGGAAATGTGGGGAGTGGGGCAGGGGAGCAGCAGCGGTGGAGGAGGGTGCAGAAGGATGTGGGGGCGGTGCTGGTGAGAGTGGTGGAGGAGGAGGGTGCATGGCAGGAGATGCTGGAAGAGGGTGCGCTGCTGGTGCTGCGCAAGATGAGGCACCGCGGGTCGTCCAGGGCCCGACTCACGGTAGGTTGATGGGTCTTGACGGGAATGGGTCATGGAAGCTGTTTGTGAATGCGAGGATCTGGGGGTGATGATGGGGTGTGTTTATGTGTGTGACTGCTACCGTATCACAACCAACCCAAGCTCAGGCGGTGTCAGTGGATGTTGCCCAACGTCATAGTGATATTTTCTCATGCTTGTTTTCTCATAATGCCTGTGTATCTGTGTGCTGCAGGCTAACCAATTGCTGGATGCACTGCAAAGCAAGACCACACATTAGCGGAGCAGATGTTAGGGGTTCACTATTGACTATTCCAAGTTATGTTACCACTTAGATCCTTGTGTGAGGTGGAGTCGGAACCTGAATGGAAGGGAGGAAGATGTATGATATTAGATTCTTATGGTTTGCGTTGTACATGATAACAATGATGGTTACATATATACGGAAAGATAAGATGTGAAGCAATGCTTTTTTATCCTTATTGCGTTTTGTCTCCCGACTAGGTACACCGAATGATTCTCATTGGGTAAGTAGCTTTGGCGGGGGTACTACCAGCAACCCTGCGCTTTCCAGGGAACTACAGTGCTGGTTGCGGGCACTTTCCGCCCCTCTGACCCTCAGACAGGGAAGTTATGGCAACAGCACAGAACTCGGTCCCACATTCACCCGCGTGTCACAAATTCGGGAAATTTTGAGAACGCAGGGCAAAAAAAATAAAACCCTTAGCGAATCTGGACTCATTTTTGGGAGGGATCAACCCTAAACACGGGAACCCGCATTTTTCTTTAGGGTTGATGCCTCCCCGAGACGCATCCCTTTCCGATCGGGTTTTAGTTTTTTTCGGTCAGGTGAAGGGATTATTTTTCCAGTGGATTGCGAATTTGTGACACGTGGGTGTATGTGGGGCCGAGCTCTGTGCTGTTGCATTAACTTGCCTGTCGGAGGGACGGAGCGGCAGAAAGTGCCCGCAACTAGCACTGTAGTTCCCTGGAAAGCGCAGGGTCACTAGTAGTACCCCCGCCAAAGCTACTTACCCATTCTCATTTCCCTGAAGTGTGGGGTTTCGCGAAAGTGGTGGCTGTGGTATCACCTTCCGCCGAAAGTGACCTGGCGAATCGTGATTCGAGAGGCGTGCTGCGTTCGCACTCATCGATGATCAGCTGGCTCTCCTGGGACTTCAGCCTGACGAGTTCGAACGGTCAAGATGAACTCCCGCGTCAATCGAGGGCTCCGACTCCAGGGAGCGTTGACAGATCCCGCGGTCCCATTTTCCCGCCATCCGTCCTCCGTCCCCTCTAGGTCACCCCATCGCAATGTTCGGTGATGGCGTCGCCCATCGGGTTTTGATCTGTCGCCCATCGAGCTTTGCGCTGTCGCCCAGGGAAACCTCCACACACTGACGTGACAATAATAAGAATCCGAATTCGTTTTCCGTTCGGTATCTTGAGCTCGCTTCAGTTTCCCTCTCTCCATAGGCCGTATTGTTCCACAGGTTCAGCTTGTGTCTTCCAAGTTCACAGCCATGGCCACGGAAACTTTCCTCTTCACCTCCGAGTCTGTGAACGAAGGACACCCTGACAAGCTTTGCGATCAGGTAACTTTAGTTTCTTCTTTAAAAGTGTTCAGAAAGTCCATTAGCTCCCTTGGTTCGCCGACGAATCTGGATTCAAATTATTGATGAGTGATGTGCGGATTTGCTAAGCTAGCTTGTGCATGTCCCTGCGTGTGCGCCTGGATTTACAGGTGTCCGATGCCGTTCTCGATGCGTGCCTGGAGCAAGACCCCGACAGCAAGGTGGCGTGCGAGTCGTGCACCAAGACCAACATGGTGATGATCTTCGGCGAGATCACCACCAAGGCCAAGATCGACTACGAGAAGATCGTGCGCGACACCGTCAGGAACATCGGCTTCGTCTCCGACGACGTCGGCCTCGACTGCGACAAGTGCAATGTACGCTCGCCTTAAATCTCGTGTCTTCAATTCTTTTGTTTGATTCTCTTCCTCGTGTTACCCGGTCGTCGCGTTAGTGTCGCTCAGCTTGATTCGCACTGACGATTGACTACGTGGTGGAATGTGCAGGTTTTGATCAACATCGAGCAGCAGAGCCCCGACATTGGGCAGGGCGTGCACGGCATGGGCACCAAGAAGCCCGAGGAGGTCGGCGCGGGCGACCAAGGCCACATGTTCGGCTATGCCACCGACGAGACCCCCGAGCTCATGCCGCTCACGCACGTGCTCGCCACCCAGCTGGGCGCGAAGCTCACGGAGGTGCGCAAGAACGGCGTGTGCCCGTGGCTGCGGCCCGACGGCAAGACGCAGGTGACCGTTGAGTATAAGAACGAGGGCGGCGCTATGGTGCCGATCCGCGTGCACACGGTGCTCATCTCCACGCAGCACGACGAGACGGTCACGAACGAGAAGATTGCGGCGGATCTCAAGGAGCACGTGATCAAGCCCGTCATCCCCGCTAAGTACCTCGACGACAACACCATCTTCCACCTTAACCCCTCCGGCCGCTTCGTCATCGGCGGTCCCCACGGAGACGCCGGTCTCACCGGGCGGAAGATCATCATCGACACGTACGGCGGGTGGGGCGCGCACGGAGGTGGCGCCTTCTCCGGGAAGGACCCCACCAAGGTGGATCGCTCCGGCGCGTACGTCGCCCGCCAGGCCGCCAAGAGCATCGTCGCTGCCGGCCTCGCCAGGCGCGCGCTCACTCAGGTGAGAATCGATGGACGGGTTGTAGGGTATAAGGAACACGGGTTGAAATATGTGGTATCTGTTTCGTGATTACCCCGAATAAACAGATCCACGTCACACACCACCCGCACCAGGTTGATGATGCTCTCAAGAATGAACTTCGGTGGATTTGTGGATCTAAGCACCAATTACCATGTTTTAGCTGGTAATGCTGCGAGTTCCTCGATCCTGGTGCTAACTCACCCCCATTCTCCGGCTATCCTCCTGGCAGGTCTCGTACGCCATCGGTGTGCCTGAGCCGCTGTCGATCTTCGTGGACACATACGGCACTGGCAAGATCCCCGATAAGGAGATCCTCGAGTTAGTGAAGGAGGCGTTCGACTTCCGGCCGGGCATGATCTCGATCAACCTGGACCTGAAGAAGGGTGGCAACAAGCGTTACCAGAAGACGGCCGCGTACGGCCACTTCGGCCGCGACGACCCCGACTTCACGTGGGAGGTGGTTAAGGAGCTCAAGCCCAAAACCGCCACCTAAAGGACGGGTGATTCAAGATACTTCTTAGATAATACTGCTTGGTAGTGCTGTGACAGTGCTGCACTTATATACGCCTGCGAAAGCGCAACGAATTATGTTACGTTCTACATAAACCTCCCACCTGATACATCACAAAACAGTTCAAAGCACAGCTAGCTTCAGCGATGCTGGCTTCCAAGAAGGTGTTGACTTTCTGATGCACACTATTTACAGCTTCGATTTTATGAGTGAGCATCCACAGCCACCCGTTTGCTGGGCTTTCATCAGCGCAGCGCCCTGATGGAGAAAACATCATCTGCTTCACAGTACAGATCCCACGGGTGAAAGAACCAGTTGGATGCATAGGTGCTTCACCGGTCTGTTGTGTCAGCGGACGTGCGGGGGCAGTGGCAGTGCACCAGTTGCAGGGCGATGCAGCCGCTGGTGTTGAGGGAGCGGCGGGCAGTGCAGGTGTGCAGATTGGGATGCTGATCACACACCGCCTGCAGGGCTGCTGGGGAGATGGCCAGGCAGCCACTGATGTTGAGCGAGACCAATCCGTGTGCGCCACGTGGCGGGCGCGAGTAGAGCACCGTGGTGGCATCGCCCCTGATGAGTTGGGGGGTGGTGAGAGGTGGGCCACATCCAGGGGACAGGGTTTTGGGGTTTGAGGTTGTGGCAAGGAATGAGGAGTGGCTACAGTCGAGGAGAGGGGGGAGAGAGGATATGAGTGGTGGTGGCAAGGCATGCAGCACACGTGTGTCCATGCCATGGGTAAGCATGGCATGGAACGTTGCAGCAGAGGTGTTGATGCGAAGAGCAGCACAGATACACCAGCCAGAAGTTGCAATCACTTGTGCCGTCAGAAATGGAGGCACCAGAAGCAGAAGCATAAACAAAAGCACATGGGGGGGTGCACTGATGCTACTCACATGCGAGGGGGGCCAGGCAGGGCCAGCCTGGGAGGGACGCTCCTCCTCATGCCCCGTGCCACTGCAGCAGCCCGCCCACACGCTCCTATGGACAGTGGTTTCGAGAGTCCGGGCTTGCCAGCATGGCGGTGCCACGTGGCAGCCGCCCCGTCAGCGAGTGCCAGCATGGCGTGGCTGGAGAGCTGGCGGCAGCAGTGCAGCCCCAGGCCCTGCAGCAAGGGGCAGTGCGCTGCCAGTGACACCACTGACGCGTCTGATGGGAGGCATGGGGGGTGGAGGGAGGCGAGCAGGAAGGGCAGATGGATTAGAAGGGGGGTTGCTTTGTTGCTAGTAGAGTGCCCCAGGCCCTGCAGCAAGGGGCAGTGCACTGCCAGTGACACCACTGACGTGTCTGATGGGAGGATGAAGTGGTGGGAGGCATGGGGTTGGAGGGAGTCGGGCAGGGAGGGCAGATGGATACGAGGGGAAGTTGCTTTGTTGCCAGTGGAACGAGGTTGAGAGGTTGTGGAGTGCCGTGGATGATGATGTGAGGTGTGGATGATGATGTGAGGTGTGGATGATGATGTGAGGTGTGGATGATGATGTGAGGTGTGGATGATGATGTGAGGTGTGAATGAGGGACGTGCGCACACAAGGCGGGACCACAAGAACTGGTTGGTGAAACACCATGTGCACAGCACAGCGCACAGGCCTTTGCTGCTCCTGAGCAGAGAGACGGATGCACGCTGGGAGTCGACCCACATGTCTCACCCTCATCACACGTATGCTTTGATCTAAGGTACACAGCCCCTTGCACCCTCACAGCACAGCTGCCGCTCCTCGGTCCACGGCTGGTATTACTTAAGGTCTTGGCGTTCACCTGTGATGCAGTAACAGCCGCACAGGTCCACCACTCTGTGCTTTAGGCACCCCCTGGCCACAGACGTGACCCCGACCCCTCGGTCCGTGACAAGCATATATTCTAGTTCCTAAAAACTCATGTCAATATTCACCTGTGATGCGGTAGCAGCCGCACAGGTCCACCACCCTGAGCCCAGTGCACCCCCTGGCCACAGCTGAGACGCCTCGGTCTGTGACGCCCTCACACCACCCCAGGTTCACCACCTCTAGCCACTTGCACCCCTGCGCTAGCACCTGGGGGAGAGGGACGTAGGAGGACAGCGGAGGGGGGGTTGAGGGTGGGAAGGGACACTACAACAGTAATTACACACCCGTGTCCCCTTGGTCCGTGACGCTCTCTCACCACCCCAAGTTCACCACTTCGAGCCATTTGCACCCCTGGGATAGCGCCTGGGGGGTAGGCAGAGGGAGAAGGGGGATGGGATTGGACAATACAACAGAAATTAGACAAAAGCCAAAAGTGAGCACAGAGTAAGGGGTGTTCCGAGAATTGAACTCGGGACCTCTCGCACCCTAAGCGAGAATCATGCCACTAGACCAAACACCCGATGTACCTCATTGTGTATAAAATTATCTTTAAAATTTTTAATTCTGAAGCACAGAGGCACACACACAATGAGAGCATGGTCGGTGGCAGCATGGCGGCAGCCGCAGAGGGAGAGCTCTCTCAGCTGCGTGCAGTGTGCTGCCAGTGCTGTGAGGCCCGCGGGGGAGATGGCGCTGCAGGCACTGAGATCCAACACCTGGGAGCGGGGGGGGGGGGGGGCGGGTGGAGGCGTATGTGGCATGGACGGGGAGGGGGGAATGAGGCGGGCAGCGGAGCTGGCGGCAGCGAGATGCGTGGATCTACGTTGGCAGATACGAGTATCACGTATAATACGCTAGCGTATTATACGCTGGGTATATACGCGGTACGGTTGGGGTGGCGTACTGGTGATACGTAAAAATACGCCGGGCGGGCAGGTAAAACTTTTTTCCCGGGCAGGGCTAAAAAAACCTGTTTCAGGGGGGCGGGTTATGTTTCCCAAAAACACATGTTTTTTAATTTCATAATTATCCAGAGATACATCTTTGGGGCTACTTCTCCCCACCCCATACATCCCCACCCCACCCTCTAGCTAGCCTCCACACAGCCGAGTTCCTTGCGGGGCTTTTCCAACACCACCCCTGCCCCATACTCATCCGCCAGAACTGCATCCTCTCCTTCCCCCCCCAGGGCGATATGCGACTGCGCGGTAACAAATCGCCAAGTCGCAAAACCTTCGCGAAATTTTTCAATTTCGATTTTTTTTTTTCGGCGGGCTGCCCGGGCGTATTTCCAAGAAATACGAGCGTATTAGCGTACCACGTATATACGCAAGCGTATATACGTGGTACGCAACCCTGCCCAGGGCGTATCTGCCAACGTAGGCGTGGATGGCAGAGAAAAACGCAGGGGAATGTGAGGCGAGGGGTGAGACGGGAGTGAGGGGCAGGCATACCTGCAGCGAGGGGCAGTGGGAGGCGAGTGCGTGCATTGACGTGTCGGTGACGAGTGGGGAGCCACTGAGGAGCAGACACGTCAGCATGGGTGAGCTGGCAGCGACGGTTGCCAGCGTGGCATCCCTTAGAGATGGACAGCGCCGTAGATTGAGCACCTGATGGGAGCGGGGGGTGAGGGGGAGGGAGTGGGGGCAGGAGGAGGGGGAGGAGGAGGAGGAAGAGGAGGAGGAGGAGGAGGAGGGAGGAGGAGAAGAGGGAGAAATCAGGAAAGCAGCAGGGAATATTAATAGGGGCAGAAAGTGGAATCAGAGCGAGTGGAAGAAGGGTAGAGGAAGGTAGAGCATGGGGTAGAGGAGGGTAGATGGCGAGAGGGAAGTGGGGGACGCAGAGGGGGGAGAGGAGGGGTGATGCGGCAGAAGCAAAGGGTGGGTGCTGACAGAGAGCGTGTGCAGAGTGTTGCAAAGGTGTAAAGAGAGGTGTAAAGGTGTACAGATGGTAATTGCGTACGAGGGTGCGTGCGAGGGTGCGTGCGAGGGTGCGTGCGAGGGTGCGTGCGAGGGTGCGTGCGAGGGTGCGTGCGATCGCACTCTCACCTGCAGCCGAGCGAAGTGGGGCACGAGGTGAGAAGCCAGGGAGTTGACGGCCTTGGCACACCTGTGTGGTGCCACGCACAGGTATCCATAGCAGCGGGGAAGGCAGGGGGAGCGAGGGAGATATACAGCAAATTAGATTGAGCAGGCGGGTCATGGATTAAGTCAAGAAATGTGCTTTGAGTTGACTCAAATCTCACCAGTCGAGGGAAAGCTGGGCAGTTAGGCCGAACACAGCAGCAGCCCATCCCCTGCAGACAGCAGCAGCGCACAGCAGCGTGCGGTTGTCAGCACGGTCCAGAATGGCCAATAGGACCTCCCCTGGCACGTCCTTCCAGCCCCCCCGGGAATGTTGCTGTGCTTGACACGTGGCATGGCGCCACGCTGGCGAGCATGCTGAGTCAGCAGTGTCAAAGTTGTGAGCGAGTGAGGAGGAGGAGGAGGAGGAGGAGGAGGAGGAGGAGGAGGAGGAGGAGTAGGAGGAGGAGGAGGAAGAGGGGGACGGATAGAGGAAGGGACGGCTGCTGCTGGGGGAACTGGTGCTGCTGCTGTCCCTGCTCTCCTCTGACGTGGCAGTATGCAATTGGTTGCCAGACGGATGGGGGGGCGTGTGGACGAGGTGGGAGTGGCAGAGGGAGTGCGGGGTGGGCGGGTGAAGGAGGATGGTGTGCCTCCTGCGCTGCTGCTGCCTCCGCCACTTGGAGGGGTGCGCGAGGGAGGGGCAGGCGGAGGAGTGGGAGGTGGATGGGTGGGCTGAGGGCGGAGAGGGGGATGGGTAGGCGGAGGGGGGAGAGTTGGAGGGAACAGAGAGGGGAGAGGCGGAGGAGGGGGATGCGGAGAAAGGGAAGGAGGACGGGGGAGGAGACGGGGAAGCGGCGGAATGGGATGTGGGCGAAGGCGGCAGGGGAGGCGGAGAGAGGGAAGAGGGGGGCGATGAGGGGCAGTGGGGGGCGTTGCTGGGGCAGAAGAAGAGATCGAGACTGGTGTGGGGGGAAGAGGGGGGGGGGGTTGGGGGGTGTAAATAGGCGCGAGGAGGGGCATGGAGAGGGGCATGGGAAGAAGGGAGATGGGAAGGCGCATGGGCAAGGGGCGGGGAGGCTGGGTTAGAAGGAGTGGAGGGAAGTGAGAGCAGGGAAGAGGAGAGCGACAGGAAGGCTGGTGTATTGAGACTCTGCGGCGATAACGTGCAGTGATGCTTCATGGGTGTATCCCCAACCCCAAAGCTTCGAATGCACAACGTGGTCTTTCATGACGAATCCGTTCAGATAGACGCCTCAACAGGGACTTTGTCTTGTGTCTTTAATGCATCGACTGCACTGCACTGCGTTCCTCCACGTAACGAAGCAAGGGACGCGTGTATTCGTTGCTCTTTAGGACGCGCTCCGCTTCAGCCGCGTCATCAGCACAGCATAAGACGCGAACAGCTCATTTAGCGGAGAGTAAGAGGGCAGCACGGGCAGGCATGGCGGCGGCACATAGTGAGGGAGCAGCACGAGCAGGGCAGCTATCTTGAGAATATTCTCAGAGCACCACGTGCGGCGCGGAGCAAACAGAGGGAGCAGCTCTTACCAGGCGTCGCTCAGTCGCACGCCTCGTTGCTTCATTCGCGACATCAGAAACAGCGCGCACTCCATGTCGCCCGCGTTCGCGCACCATCGCACAGCGTCGCTCACTGCGTCGCTCATCTGTGCCGCCGCGGGTCGCTGCGGTTGCTGCGACGCGTCGCAAGGGGCGTGCGACGCCATGAGAAGGACCGCGAGGGGAGCGAACGAGCGCGGCGAGCGAGATGTTCGCTAAGAGACGGTCCGCTAAGAGAGTTTCCGCTAAGAAATGTTCCGCTAAGAGCGTTGCGACGAACGTTACGGGGAGTGCGAGCGCTGCGGTTCTACACGCGGCGGCAGCTGTAAAGGATTGCGCTGGCGCGGTCAGCAGTCAGACGGCTGCGTGAGAGGGCAGCGAGGGCGGGGAGGCCGGCGAGGCCAGCGCGGGCGGATAACGTGTAGTTGCTTTGGCAAGGCGGTGCTTCAGCAGAAGACACTTTCCACGAACGTTTCTTCCCTGCGTGCCCTATTTTCTTCTCGTCTTGCCCCCTTTTCGTCAGCTTTCCCCACTGCAGCGCAACAATCACCACAGAGCTTGGACGCAATCCCCTACCGCCGTGGAGTGTGCACACATGGCATATCTGCGCGAGGTCGAGTGATGCCCGGCCGTAATTACATGACGAGCAGCTTGCCTGCTTGCTTGGCCTTTGCTTGCAATGAGCAAAGGGGGGCGAGCAAAGGGCATGGGATGGGAGAACTAGGCGCTGCTTACGAGGCGCGCTTACCAAATTGCCCCTGGTTCATTCCACGTGGCGTATCCTTGATGCGATACCATTGGTCTGTTATTGAAGTGAATGGGCAGTGCTGACGCAGCAGCATGCGCGAACACTCGTCATTTTCGCTCTGACCAGTCACGAGGCACCACGAACGCGTCAGTGACGAGTGGGCGAAAACCGAGGGGGACGCCGTTGGACGAACCGCCTCGTGGACTCTTGTCGAGGCAGGTCCGATAAGCTTGGAAGTAGTATTGCATTCTGCAGGTCATGCCCTCATAATGTTGTTGGTTAAAAGGCTAGCTTGTTCAAGGGTTGCTAGGAGTGCATTTGTTATACATATAATGCTAGAAACATGCGAGGGTTGTCACTTGCAGTGCTAATATAACTCCCACCCGATGCCCCCAACCTGGAGCTCACGAGTCACGACCCAGGCCGATGGTGGGCATGAGGAGGCATTGCAGGCTCGGAGGACTGCTGGGGGCGCAGGTGGATGAGGTGCTTGTAACGAGTCATGGACTCTCTCTGTATCGGGGACAGCCTGCCCTCGAAGATGCTGGGCCCTATGAGCAGCTGTAGCTCTGCCACTGCCACGCCCGCTACTGCTGCCACCTCCGGCTGTAGCAATGGGGGGGTGGGACGGAGAAGAGGGGGAGTCTTAGCAGCGGAGGAGTGGGAGAAACAATGCTCGAGCGGCAGAGGGCGGAAGGGCGCGGATGCATGGAAAATTCTGGTGGGAACCAAGTAAGAAAGAGAGACAAGGGTGCAGCGAGCAGCAAGGGTGGGATGGTGAGCAGGCAGTGAGGGCGGCAGAGGGACCTGGTGAGAGGCGAGGGCGGTGAAGAGGGGCGGCAGGAAGAGCTCCAGGTGCGCCTTGAACTGCCGCTTGCCCATTGGCTGGGGGGGGGGGGGAGGTTTATGGGTAATGGGCACATGGGAAGGGCGCATGGGGAGAGGGCGGATGGGTAGAGGGGAGGAGCATGAGGTTGGGAACGGAGCAGGAAGGAGTACGAGAGAGAGATTGGAGCAGGATGTATTGAGAAAGAGAGTGTGGTGGGAAGTGTGTGATGGCAGCATGGGTGGGCAGTGGGCAGAAACGCAGGGTGATGGTGGGGGGGGGAGGGAGGGAGTGACCTTAGCGATGCGGGGCAGGTGGCGCATTATGGTGACTAGGAGGGCTGGATGGGCTGCTGCTGCTGGTGAACTCGCCTGGTGTATGTTGGGTGCAGTGGGGATGGGTTGAGAGGGGTGGTGGAGACGAGGCAACGCATTGTTACAAACAACCAGGGCATGGCATGGCATGGAAAGGCATGGCATGGCATGGAAAGGCATGGCATGGCATGGAAAGGCATGGCATGGCATGACGTGGAAAACAGGACATGAGTGGCAGCACAAAGGTGTGCTGTGTGCAGTGCAACATCCCAAGGCCGAGGGTGGCAGGCAAGGGGGGGAAACAGACCAGTTGGGCGAGGGTGGGGAGGAACGCCCCCACAGCAGTGGGGGCAGGGCAGCAAGGAAACATGGTGTGTTCAAAGCAATGTGGCGCAGTGGTGAGGGTGGGGGCGAGGGGACACACATACCAGCTGTGCGAGGGTTGGTAGGTAGGAACTCCCCCACAGCAGCCGGGGTAGCGGCAGCACGCACGGAAGCACGGTTTGTTCACTACAATGTAGTGCAGTGGTGAGGCAGAGGGCGAATGGAGCACACATACCAGCTGTGCGAGGGTCGGTAGGAACTCCCCCACAGCAGCGGGGGCAGCAGCAGCAAGGAAGGGCAGCAGCTGCACCGCCCCCTCCGACTGCTCCCATGGCTCTGCTGTGGGTGCATGGTGGCACGTGCATGGGGCAGCAGGGGCAGCAGCGGCAGGAGATGCAGCAGGTGCAGCAGCAGGGGCAGCAAGAGCAGGCGCAGCAGCAGCGGCAGGGGAAGCAGCAGTGGCAATAGCGGCAGGGGCAGCAGGAGAAGAGGCAGAGGCGGAGGCGGAGGAGGCGTTGACTCGCACGGGCTCGAAGATGAACTTCTGCGGGTGAGGTGAGGGCATGGGCATGGGGGGACGAATGGAGCACGGGGTTGGCATGAATGGGGTGCCATGTGGTGGCGTAGGGTGGCATGGAGTGGTATGGGCATGACAAGAGAAAAAGTGTGGGTTGGCGGAGCAGGCAGTGAGGCATGGAGGAGAAAGGAAAGGAGGTGCGAGAGAGGAGTGGGTACCGATTCAAGGGAGGAGGGACGTGCTGGGTCCGGTGGTGTCGAGGGGTCTCTGCTTGAAAGGGGGAGAGAGGAGACGGGATGGAAGCATGGGGAAGAAAATGAGGGAAGAGAGATGAACCTAAGGATGACAGAGAGTGGACGAGTGGACGTACAGTGGGGAAGACAGGATGCGGTGTTGACAGTTGATTGGAAATACAAGACAACTCTGCGTGCAGTGCCAAGGGCAGTGGCAAGGGCAGTGGCAAGGGCAGTGGCAAGGGCAGTGGCAAGGGCAGTGGCAAGGGCAGTGGCAAGGGCAGTGGCAAGTACGGCAGGACGGGTAGCACGGACCTGAGGGAGATGCGCACAGCCTGCAGCCCTGGTGACGACGCTGCTGCAGCGGTAGGAGGAGGCGGAGGATGCGCAGGGTGGGGGTGATGGTGGGGGTGGTGGGTGGAGGCGGAGCAGGAGTGGGAGGCGGCAGGGCAGCAGGCGGAGGGGGGGGCAGAGGCGGAGGCAGGGGCGGGTGGGTGAGTGTGGGTGTGCGAGTGCGGGGTGGGGGAAGAGAGTGCGGCAGGCAGCAGGGTGTGGAGCGCGTCTTGAGTGATCTGAGGCGCGAGGAAGGGAGAGAGGAGTGAGAGAGAGTTTTGAAACGTCTCTTACTGCGGAGGTGACTATGAGTCGACTCCAAGCATGTGAGAGTACAGGGAATGGCGAAGGCGGCCCACGGGGAAAACAGGGAGCAGGAGTCAAGACGCATGCCATGTTGGCAAGAAACAATGTGGTGACACCACCATGCCATCCTGCCGCCATCATACATGTGCCATGCGACCCATGCCTGTCTGACCCCCCTCTCACCTGTAGCGCCTTGCCCTGTGTCTCCCTGGTGGTGAGCGCCGCCCCTATGAGCGCTGCAGCATGCTGCCTCACCGCCGGGATCACTGCAGCATGACAGGGGGCGGTGGCGGCGGTGGCAGGGTGGGTGGTGGCAGTGGTAGAAAAGAACAGAACACGAGGAGTAGATTAGCAAAGGGCAGAGCGATGGAGAGTGGAGAGTGGAGGGGATGAGGGGGACGAGTGACGGCGCGCAGTGTGTGGGTTGGACAGGACGCACCGTCTGTGAGGTTGGCAAGCCAGGTTGGTGCCCACGTGTCAAGGTGCTGTGCTGCCACGTCACCATAATGCTCCACCACGCCGGCACTCGCTGGTAGCGTGGGCGGCGAAGAGAGACAGTGGGGACAGAGATAAAGAGACGGTGGGGACAGAGGTGTGAGTTGAAGGGGAGAAAGATGGAACGGAGGCACAGCAGTTTTAGGCGAAGGATGAAGGGCGCGAGTGGGGAGAAATGGGGTGAGTTGAAAGTGGAGTGATGTGCGTAGGCACGGGGGTGTGCAGCACGGCAGGGCAGTGGAGGAGGAGATCAACTGTGAGGCGTCTCAAGAATAAGAGCATGTCAGCGGTTGCAGAGGGCAGGGGAAGGAGGGGCACCTGAGCAGGCGGCACAGCGCACGGGCCACACGGGGTCGGTGTGGCAGCGGAGGAGGCTCGGCAGCAGGTCCGGCAGCACTGGTAGCACCACCTGGCGCCATGGGGGTGGGGTTGGGTGTGGCGTGGGGAGAGTGGGAGAGGAGTGAGAAGGGTTGCAGAGAAGAGACGAGTGAGGTGAGGTTAGAGTGAGGTGAGGTTAGAGTGAGGAGCATTGAGTTGCCAGGCCACCACGCGGGGTACCCCATACCTCGCTTCCCAACCATTACTCCGATGCCCCACCTGCTCCTCCACCCTCGCAACCTGTCTCTCCCCTTTCCCCCCCACCTGCACCTCCCACCCACCCACTCGCCCCCTGCTGCCACTCCCCCTCCCCCTCACCAGCCTGTCAATCTTGGCGGCCACCTCAGCGATGCAGAAGCACGCCGTCTGATGGCATGCAGGGGGGGCACACAGGCATGGGAGGGGGGAGGCAGTGGCAGGGATAGGCGAGGTGAGATGGTGTGTGGCTCAGTGCACTGTGCGGGTGAGATGGTGTGTGGCTCACTGCACTGTGCGGGTGAGATGGTGTGTGGCTCACTGCACTGTGCGGGTGAGATGGTGTGTGGCTCACTGCACTGTGCGGGTGAGATGGTGTGTGGCTCACTGCACTGTGCGGGTGAGATGGTGTGTGGCTCACTGCACTGTGCGGGTGAGATGGTGTGTGGCTCACTGCACTGTGCGGGTGAGATGGTGTGTGGCTCACTGCACTGTGCGGGTGAGATGGTGTGTGGCTCACTGCACTGTGCGGGTGAGATGGTGTGTGGCTCACTGCACTGTGCGGGTGAGATGGTGTGTGGCTCACTGCACTGTGCGGGTGAGATGGTGTGTGGCTCACTGCACTGTGCGGGTGAGTGGCACATGTCACATGCCGCGTGCCCCATACCCCATGCACCTAGTTGGGCGCACCTCTCGCACGAGGTAGTTCTGGCTGCGCGCCTGCAGGCAGTAGAATGCCGCCACCAGCGCCATGTGCTGCGCCACTGCCGCCCGCCCACCCCCGCCCATCACGCGCTGCCACGTGTCCTGCGAGTAGATGCGCACCCCATCTGCGCCGTAATAGCGGTTGAACACCCTGGGGGATGAGAAAGGGGGGGGAGGGAGAGAGGGAGGGGGGAGTGGGAAGAGGGAGGGGGAGAGGGAGGGAGGAGGGGGGTTATACTATGGGGGATTGGGTGAGAATATGGCGTGAGTACATGCGCACTCCGTCCGCCCCGTAGTAGCGGTTCAACACCCTGGGGGGGGAAGGGATGGGGAGAGGGGATGGTGGTGTGGCATGGTATGGTGGCATGGTATGGTGGTGTGGCATGGTATGGTGGCATGGTATGGTGGCATGGTATGGTGGCATGGCATGGGATGGTGGTGTGGCATGGGATGGTGGTGTGGCATGGTATGGTGGCATGGTATGGTGGCATGGTATGGTGGTGTGGCATGGGATGGTGGCATGGTATGGTGGTGTGGCATGGGATGGTGGCATGGTATGGTGGTGTGGCATGGGATGGTGGTGTGGCATGGTATGGTGGCATGGTATGGTGGCATGGTATGGTGGCATGGTATGGTGGTGTGGCATGGTATGGTGGTGTGGCATGGTATGGTGGTGTGGCATGGGATGGTGGTGTGGCATGGTATGGTGGCATGGGATGGTGGCATGGTATGGTGGTGTGGCATGGGATGGTGGTGTGGCATGGTATGGTGGCATGGTATGGTGGCATGGTATGGTGGTGTGGCATGGGATGGTGGTGTGGCATGGTATGGTGGCATGGTATGGTGGCATGGTATGGTGGTGTGGCATGGTATGGTGGTGTGGCATGGTATGGCGGTGTGACATCGCATTGTGGCGTGGTATGACATGATGGTGTGGCATGGCATGCCATGGAGAAAAGCCTTGGTATGTCATGTGGAGGCAGCAGGTGGCTCACATGGCGGGCAGCAGGGAGGGCAGGTAGCGCTCCTTGCGATGCACCGCGCCCGCTGACAGGAAGAATGCTCGGTTGCCCACCGACGCCGCTGGAGTGTGGGTGAGAGGAGAGGGGGAGGAGGGGGAAGGGGAAGGAGAAGGGGAAGGGGAAGAAGAGGTATAAAGGGGAGAGAGAAAGAGTTGTGGTGCCTAAACAAGAGACATGAGGAAGGAGGATGTGGTGGGCAGGGACAGGCAGGTGAAGCAGGCAGGAGGAGATGAAGTGAAGGGAGGCACGGTGGGAGGCAGGGGAAAGGAGCAGAGCAGAAAGAGTAAGACTCCTGGCTGGTGTCACCGCATAGCACCTCACAGCACTGCGTCTCACCGCAAAGTGCACCTCAGTGCACTTCATCTCACTGCACTGCATCTCACCACACTGCATCTAACCGCTCTGCACCTCACCGTATCTGACTTGGCTCCAGCTGTCCCCCAGCCCCACAGCAAGGTGAGAGGCGATGGTCCCCCCCAAACTGCACAGAGCACATGAGAGAGAAGGGGCGAGGGGCAGAGGCGGCAGAGGAGGGAGAGGGGGCAGACGCGGCAGAGGAGGGTGAGGGGGCAGAGGCGGCAGAGGGAGGGAAGGATTAGGGCCAGAAGCGAGCAGATTCACAGGCGTGGGAAGAAAGCAGAGGGCAGATCGGAGAAAGCAGAAGGGAGAAGAAAGTTGGAAGAAGGAAGCTGTAGGGAAGACGGAAGCTGTAGGGAAGACGGAAGCTGCAGGGAAGACGGAAGCTGCAGGGAAGACGGAAGCTGTAGGGAAGACGGAAGCTGTAGGGAAGACGGAAGCTGTAGGGAAGACGGTAGGGAAGACGGAAGCTGTAGGGAAGACGGAAGCTGTAGGGAAGACGGAAGCTGTAGGGAAGACGGAAGCTGTAGGGAAGACGGAAGCTGTAGGGAAGACGGAAGCTGTAGGGAAGACGGAAGCTGTAGGGAAGACGGAAGCTGTAGGGAAGACGGAAGCTGTAGGGAAGACGGAAGCTGTAGGGAAGACGGAAGCTGTAGGGAAGACGGAAGCTGTAGGGAAGACGGAAGCTGTAGGGAAGACGGAAGCTGTAGGGAAGACGGAAGCTGTAGGGAAGACGGAAGCTGTAGGGAAGACGGAAGCTGTAGGGAAGACGGAAGCTGTAGGGAAGACGGAAGCTGTAGGGAAGACGGAAGCTGTAGGGAAGACGGAAGCTGTAGGGAAGACGGAAGCTGTAGGGAAGACGGAAGCTGTAAGGAAGACGGAAGCTGTAGGGAAGACGGAAGCTGTAGGGAAGACGGAAGCTGTAGGGAAGACGGAAGTTGTAGGGAAGACGGAAGATGTAGGGAAGACGGAAGCTGTAGGGAAGACGGAAGCTGTAGGGAAGACGGAAGCTGTAGGGAAGACGGAAGCTGTAGGGAAGACGGAAGCTGAAGGGAAGACGGAAGCTGTAGGGAAGACGGAAGCTGTAGGGAAGACGGAAGTTGTAGGGAAGACCGAAGCTGTAGGGAAGACGGAAGATGTAGGGACCACGGAAGCTGTAGGGAAGACGGAAGCTGTAGGGAAGACGGAAGCTGTAGGGAAGACGGAAGCTGTAGGGAAGATGGAAGCTGTAGGGAAGACAGAAGCTGTAGGGAAGACGGTGCGAATGGATCAGCATGGGCACACGTACGGGCTGAAGCATGGGCACACGTACGGGCTGAAGCATGGGCACAACAAGCATGACATGACCGACCCGAAGCAGCACACCTGGTGAGCTGTGTGGCCCCCATGACATGGCACAGCGCAGCTGCTTAGAAGGCTGGTTCGATTCCAATTGTATCTCACCTGGTGAGCTGGCTCGCCCCCATGACGCGGCACAGTGCAGCGAGGGCAAACATGGCGGCCTCACGCACAAAGCGGTTGCCATGCCGCACCACTAACCCCACCACCTCCACCGTGCCCCCACTCATCTCCCCCACCGCCTCCTCCCACTCCGCTCCCCCCTCCCCCTCCTCCTCCCTCCCTCCTTCCCCTGCATCTCCCCCCATGCCAACCACAACTGCCCCCCCTACCCTCTCTCCTCCTGCACCTCTCCCCACCGCGCCTCTCCCCCCTGCCCTCCGCTCCCCCAGCCCATCGAGCAGGCGCTGCAGCGAGCGCAGCGCCGTCTCCAGACTGCGCCCCCGCGCCTGGTGGGGGGAGGAGAAGAGGGGAGGGGGGTTGACTTCTGAGATGAGAGCTCTCAACAGTCTCGTGAAAGACTCCAATATAGCGCAGCACCGTCTCCAGACTGCGCTCCCGCGCCTGCTGAGGAGGGGAGAAGAGGGGAGACGGGAACTTGTAAGACCCCTCCGAACAGTCTAGAAAAGGGCTCCAATACAGCACAGCACCGTTCCCTAGTGCGCCCCCCCGCATAGTGAAGGGAGAGAAGAGGCAGAGGGGGGGACTGGTTTGGGATGAAAGTGGGGTGGGGAAGAGTGGGAATGTGGGGAACGCGGCACAGGGAGGCAGGCAGGTGGCAAGGCGTGGAGCGCACAGGCAGCTCTGGAGTGGACCAGCGGCCGAGGAAGCAGAGGATTGGATTCAGCTGTACGCCCCACAGCCTGCCACTACTGGGCCCGCATGCCCACGTGTAAGCACGCGTGCATCCCCACCTTCCCACCCACCCGCCTGCCCGGCCGCCCGCCTGCCTAACCATGTGCCCACCTACCTCCCCCCCGCCTTACCGCCATCATCAAGTCGGTCGCTGTCTGCTGCGCGCTTGCCCTCCCTCCTCCCCCACCCGCTCCCCCCACCCCTTCCGCACCCCCCCGCCTGCCCATGGCCGCTGCCAGCCCTGCCTGGTCCGCCCTGGGAGAACTGGGCGCGTCCCCCATCCCCTCGCTCCCCTCCCCTCCTTCCCCCGCCACTCCCCCTTCCGCGCCCTCCTGCGCCCCCTCGCCTTGCTGCGCCCCAAAGGCTGCCTGCCTGCTTCCCTTTTCCCCCTCCCCGTCCGCCTCCTCCCCATCGCCCTCCTCCTGTCCTTCCAGCAGCGCCGGCAGCGGCTGCTGCTGATGCAGCGTGCGAATGATGTGTGCTTTCACGGCCCTGAGGAGGGAGATGGGGGGGGGTGTGGGGAGGGGGAGGCGAGGGGAGATTCACGTGTGCTGATGAGGCCAAAGGGGATGTTGGCGGTGTGTGGCATGGCTGGCGAAAACATAACAAGGGATGAGAGCAGGGGAGAGGAGGCCTAACGCGGGCGAGACAAGGGGATGATTGACGGGGGAGTGGCATGGCGGGTTGTGGTATGATGAATGAAAACAAGAGAAGACGGCGGAGCGGGGGAGCGGCGACCTGAAGAGGGCGAGGGCGGCGGGCAGCGACCCGTAGCGCACCAGGGCACAGAGCGCCTCCGCTGCTGCCAGCCTGGCACCCACACACATGGGTGATGGGGAGGCGCGGAGGGGCAGGCAGGGCGTGTGTGGGAGAAGAAACAGGCATGAGTGAGCGTGAGTGAGCATGAGTGAACGTGAGTGAGCGTGAGTGAACGTGAGTGAACGTGAGTGTTCAGTATTGATGATGAGCATGCTGCATGTGTGCGTGCGTGCATGAATGACTGGATGCGATGCACATGGTACAAGCATGGGTCTCACTCACCATCCTCTCCACCACCCCTCTCACCTTCCCATCAACTCACTCGTCCACACTCACACCTCACCCCATGACCCGCTCCCTCCCTCCCCACCTGACACGCGGCTCCTCATCATCCATGTGCCGCAGCACAGCCTCCCCCGCTCCGCTGCAGAACGCCGCCACACCTTCCCCTCCCTCGCTCCCCTCCCTCCCCCCTCCCTCCCTCCTCCCCGCCTCCTCTGCCCCGCCTCCCCCGCTCCCCTGCCCCGCGCCCTCGCCCCCTGCAGCGCACGGCTCCTCGCTGCCCGCGTGCTCGCGCTGCCCCGGCTGAGCGCCCAGCACTCTGCTCCAGTGCCGCAGCAGCACCTGCCAGGCGCAGGGACAGGCGCAGAGGCAGAATGAGGCTGGCGCATGCTTGCTGTGTGCTTGCGGCAGATTGCTGTGGTGAGCGAGCGGGACTGCGAGCTCCTCCCGTCGAGTGCTGCCATGGGCTGCTTGGGGCACAGCATGTGGGGAAGCATGGGCACAGCGGAGTATGCTCTTCACATGGCACCCTATCACCTTCCATTCTTCCCTCACCTGCCCACACCCCACAGCGAGCGAGTCACGACCCCATCCCCATCCCCATCCCCATCCCCATCCCCATCCCCATCCCCATCCCCAGAGCCCAGCCCAGCCCAGCCCAGCCCAGCCCAGCCCAGCCTACCTCAGCCCCCAGGAAGCCCCCATGCCGCGCACTCCACCTGCCACCCACGCTGCTGCCGCCGCTGCCACTGCTGCCGCTGCTGCCACTTCCGCCACCCCCACTTGCACCGCCCCCCCCTTCCTCTGACCCCTGCGCAAAACGCCCTGCGCTCCCTGCCTCTTCCCCCTCCCCCGTTCCCCCATCCGCCCCCGCGTCCCCCCGCCCCTGCATGGCGAGCAGGTGCGCACTCACTGCCTCCATGCGCCTTGCCGTGCCGTCACTGCCGCTCGCCACTCCTGGGGGCGAATGGGGAAACGGGGGAGAGGGGGAATGGGGGGGGAATGGTGGGAGAGGGGGAATGGCGGGAGAGGGGGAATGGCGGGAGAGGGGGAATGGCTGGAATAGAGGAGGGGGGCAGTGAGAGCGGGAGGCGGAGGGGATGGAGCGCGACGGGGACAGAGAGACGGGCGGAAGGAAAGGAAGCGGGATGGCGAAGGGAGAGGGCGGTGGGGACGAGGAGGCGAGGGAGTGGCGGAGGCAGAAGTAGTGGGGAATGCGGATGTGCGGAGCGCGCAGGTGGGAATGGCGGGTGAGGCAAGGGGAGGGCGAACGGGCGGGGGAAGGGCGGGCAGCGGGAGTCACGCGCACCGGCGAGGAGCGCGTCGAGCGCTGTGAGCCCATTGGCTCGCTCCAGCGCCGTTCTATCCGCCAGCTGGCGCGCCACCCGCGCCACCTCGCCGCGCCAAGCCACCATCGCCGCCACCGACTCCGCCGCTCCCACCGCGTCCATGGCGATCACGAGAGGTGCCGCGACGCCACGTCACGGCGCCGCAACACGCGCCGCCCGAGCTTGCTTGTGAAGCGCCTCGAGCTGCCGCGGATGGTCGGTGCTCGAAAGGAAGCATGCAACGCGATTTGGGAAGCCGGGGGAGCGTCGAGTAATCCTAAAGCCGGAAAGGTGGAGCGCAATGTGTGTGTGCAGCTCGTTGAACGTTCTACTAGCGATTCTTTCTCGTGCTGAGCTCCAACACGGCTCATTCGCCAATGAGCAGGGTGGTTTGCTTGGGGCGAGGAGGTATGCAATACCATTTCAGGGTTCGCGTGAATTCATTCACGGTTCAAAGCGGTGTAGGGGAACTAACCGCTTTCTATATTCAATCAATTGAGCTCTGATTTTTCGGTACATTGAACCAGAAAACCCTGTGCCACGCGGCGCACCCGCATTGGTGTTTTCGCCGCCGCTGAGTGGTCAGCATCACTGCTATGGGCAACATCGAAGTAGAGAGCGTAGGGCACAAGCACGGCATACAGTACCTGCATTCAGCCAGCATCCAGAATAGTGCCTGTGTCGGGACGCCGATCAGCACACGCACTTCGATTATTAGTCGCCTAGGAGCCTCCCGCACGAATCAGCTGCGTGCGATCCGCGCTCACCTGCTGGGCTTCCGCGCGTTCCGCGTCCGGCGTTCCGCTTCCGCCCGTTCTGCTTCCGCGGCGACGCAGCGCGATCGCAGTGCCAGCCATGGAGGGCCTCCTCGCGCAGCCTGCGCGCGTAACGCAGGTGGCCGTCCCCGCGTCCTCTCCGCTATCATCCCCCGCCTTCATTTCCCCTAGTCGCTTTTTTGCAGCCGCTCACGGCCGGATAGCGGCGCGGCAGCGCAAGTCGCTGGCCGTTAGAAGTACGGATAGGAGCGAACGGATTTCGTGATCGTTGTGCGGCTTAGCGCGTACGCGCGCGGATGGTTAGGCGCTGGAGGCATGTGCGCTGTCCGCGTGGACGAGTGTGGCAGGCATAGAAGTGAACGGCTGTTCATCCGCTTCGGTCGCTTCTTCCCGCTGTGTTTGTCACTGTTTTCGTCTCTCCGGGCGTGGGCGCGTTCAGAGCGGCCATGGACGTGCTCAATGAGAGAGGGTGAGGGGTGATGGGTCTCTTACAGGTTACTTAAGCCATGCATGAAGGGGAAACTGGGCGGGCGTGGGCGCATTCAGGGCGGCCAAGGACGTGCGCAATGAGGGGGGGTAAGCCTGTGAGGACTTTCCGTGCCAAGCGCGGGCAATGGGCGCCTGTGGGCGTGTTCAGGGCCGCCATGTACACGCTGAATGAGAGAGGGTGGGTCCCTTACTGGTTACCTGGTGAGGGGGTGATGATGGGCGCCACGTGTACTTTGTGCACTCGTACCGAGCCACTCAGGTGCAGGGCAGCGTAGCTTAAGAGCCACTCAGGTGCGTGTGGGGCAGCCTAGGCTAGGAGCCACTCAGGTGAAGCCTAGCCCACCCCCCCCCCTTCCTCCTCGCAGCCGCAGTGCAGCCTAGGAGGGTATTGCAGGGTTGCACTAGAGGTTAAGATGAAGAATACGGTTTCCGTGCAGTGCAGTGCAGTGCAGTGCAGTGCAGTGCAGTGCAGTGCAGTGCAGTGCAGTGCAGTGCAGTGCAGGTTAAGGGCTCACTCACGGCCTGGGCTAGAGGCCAGTCTGGTGCAGCCTGGGCGAGGGGCCACGTACCATAGGTATGATACCTTCCCTATGTATACATACCCACCTCCTCACCTCACCCTTCCCTCCTTCCTCCATTTCTTCCTCCCCAACTCACCCCCCAGACCCCTGGGAACAGCGAGTGGGTGCTGGCGACGGCCAACTATGGCGAGCCGTATGTATGGCCGTGGTACCCTCAAGGCACCATATGTATGGTACCTTCCATGCATATACCCAACTTCTTCCTCTTTCCCTCCCCCCCCCCCCCCCCTCCCTCCTCCTCCCTTTCTCCTCACCAGACCCCTTCGAACAGCGAGTGGGTGCTGGCGATGGCCAACTATGGCGAGCCGTACGTGGCGGCAGTGAGGAAGGGCAACGTGCAAGCCGTGCAGTTCCACCCGGAGAAGTCGGGCAGTGAGTGTCGGTTGCTGGTGGCGAGCAGAGAGGGGGAAGAGGAGGTGAGTGAGCTGTATGTGGCTGCTGTGAGGAAGGGCAGCGTGTGCAGTGCAGGCCATGCAATTCCACCCGGAGAAATCAGGAGGTGAGGCGTGAAGGGAGTGGGGAGTGGGGAGTGGAGAGAGGGAAGTGGGGAGAAGGGACAAGAGCAGGGAGAGGGAAAATGAGAGTGTGGAGTTACAAGTGGGCAGAGGAGAGTGGTCATTCAGGGGGCCCGCCCTGCTTCCCACGCCACCATCCAAACCCCTTTCCCCTCTCCTCTCCTCTCTTTCCCCTCTCTCCCCGCCCCGCTTCTCTTCCCCCACTTTTCCCGCCTCTCTCCACGTCTCTCTCCTCTCCCCCCCCTCCTCTCCCCCTCTTCTCCCCCCTTTCTCTCTACCCCCATGCCAGTGGTGGGCTTGGACATCCTGCGTCGCTTCCTCGGCCCCAACAGGAGCCAGCAGGCCAACGTGCGTGCTCCCTTTGCCCTCTCCCCTCGCTGCCCCTCCTGCACTCCCCGCCCTCTCCGCCCTCTCCGCTCTATCCGCCCTCCCTGCCCGCCCTGCCCTCCTGCCCTCTCTGAACGTTTGGGGCGGCGGAAGTCGCTGGCAGGCTGTCTTAGCTTCGGTCTGCATCTTCCACTCCTGCTGATTTGATTCCACCTGTCTTACCCACTGCATGTGCCTCACTGCACTACCTATGTTCAGACTGGTTTCCAATTCCACATCAAACGATTTCAGCACACTTAGCACGGGCATCATGCCACATGCCACATCCCCTTGGATTACACCCCACTCCATCTCCCACCGCACCCCACCCCATCCCACCCACCCCCACCACCAGGAGGTGGAGGAGGCGTGCAGCCAGCCCCTGAGGGGCCCGTGAGCGCAAGGATAAAAAAAACGACCGAAATATTGAAATTTTGGCGTTATTAACGGTATCGTATTTTTCAGCCGTTTAGAACGGTTTAATACAGTGAAATAGTGCAATTTTATGTTGGAGCAAAAAAACGGTCGTTTTAAACGACCGAAAGTTTGAAACCAGTAGTGCTCTTCACACATCATAGAATTCCACGTCTGGCTAGAATCGAGTATGGAGCAAATGCACTTTCTCGACATGCGGCTCGGTTGAGTTTCCCGAGTCGCACATTGAGCACTTGACCGAGTCGCGGATTTCAAACATTTGGGGTTCGCGAAGCAGGGACTTCACCCGTTTCGCCAAGACGTTGACACATTCGCGCCTGTTTCCCATTGGGTACGCGCAATTGGGGAAAGCGCAACCAATCAAAGAAGCCAATTCACTTATCGAGGCGCAACACTTCAACATTGAACCATCGCGAAACGATCTGTTTACCCGTTTCGCCAAATAAATTTGGATTTTCGCGGCCCCTACATTCTCGATTCGCACACACATTGTGTCTCGCAATTTTCGCGTAGCGCTTGGGCAAAGCGCGACCAATCAGAGCAAAGCCAACCAAAATCATTCGAGGTGCTGTGATCGATCTCACCTCATCAAACTAGAACCACCATGGTTTTGGCTTACCTTAGGAACAGCTGCAGCACTCACGTTCTCAGATTGACATAGCTTTCCCTCCACCATGGTTCGCCCGAAGTCTGAATTCTGGACGCACGTAACGGAGGTGACGGCCGCAGATGGTTCAGTTAGCTGCGTGTGTATTCACTGCAACAAGAAGGTCATTGCTGTTGGTGCAACCCTACGGTTTGCATTCGGCTTGTTGTCCGTGTGCGTGCATGCGTGTGTGCATGGAATGGTATGAGGGCATGAAATAATATATATTTTATGATTACAATAGTGTGTGAATGATGAGGCATGATTTTGAATGTGTGTGTCGAGTCAATAGCGAGTTATCGCTAGTCGCGTGTCACGTCGTCGTTTGCGTGTCGTGTGCGGTTTTCTATTTTGTCGTGTGTGGAACGTTCGGCGTGTCGCAGGTGTGCGCAGCAGACTTCCAAGAACTCAAGGAAGAATTTACCTTGAAGAACCAGAGCCTTGGTTTCAAGAATCAAGTGATTTCGAAGCTCTCCAAAAGGGTAAACTTTAAGATAGTGAGAATAGTTGCATTACTTTGTGTAGTGTAACATTTCTCTTAGTGTAGGCCCTTGTGGAGGGTAGTTTCGAGACCCTTCGTGGTTGGGGACAGTGTGGCACTGTTCCACATTACTGTACCTCGGCTCTTGGGGTTTGTAGGAGCTGGGAGTCATTCCCAACTCGTAACTCTTCCTAATTTGTGTTTCAAGTCTATTGTGGCTGCCATAGTGCCATTCGTTCAAACCAACGTTGCGTGGTCAATTCTTTATGAAATCATGCGATCTAAATTGCCAAGCGTAGGCGACGTCAAGGCGCTCCAGATCCAATTTAAATCAAGTCATTTGCAGCTGTGACCAGAACGCTATCAACGTTTGAAGTCGCTGTGCAGAAATCTGACTGTGCACTCTATCTTTCGTTTTAGGCACATTCAAGCCTATTGTGACTATAACAAGTGGTATCAGAGCCCCTTGGAGCAGTTTCGACAATGGCTGGACCTGAGGAAAGGGGTGGCAGAGGTGCTGGTGGCAGTGGAGAAGCCCAAGCTCAAGGCCAACCCCGTGATTCAGCCATGGCGCCTGTGCAACCAAGTCTTGGCCCACCTAAGGATGAGCCTAGGGTGTTTGGGCTTGACAAGTTCAGTGGTGACAACTTCGCTGAATGGTCCTTCAGAATGGAGAACGTATTTGACCACTATGACCTGCTGGAGGTGATGGAAGGAACAGAGAAGCGCCCCGAGAACGACCCAGAGAAGAGCCCGTGGGTGCGGAAGAGCGCACAAGGCTATCTCCTACTTGGGCAAGCGTTGGGGAGCAGCCAGATCCGTCACATCAAGCCATTCCAGCGTGAACCAGAGAAGGGACCAAAGGCATGGGCTGCTCTCAAGGGTGTACACGCTCCTGCAACAGCAGCGGTAGCGGTGGTGTTGGAACAGCAAATGGCGGCACTACGAATTGAAGAAGACAAAGCGGTTGAAGAAGGGGTGCAGAAATTCTTCGACTTGTTGACGCGGCTTGAGGGAGCTGATTTGAACTACAGTGAGCTCCAAAAGAAGACCAAGTTGCTGGCCTTACTCCCAGAGTCATGGTCCTCTCTCATCATCAACCTCAATCGTGACTTGCCCCGCCTCTCGCTCGAAGACGTGAAGCGAGCGATCCTTCAAGAGGATTTCCGTCGCCGTGAGTTGGCGAGTGCGGATGGCGCCGGGGCAGCAAGCATTGGCCGTGGATATGGCCGTGGAAGGGGCAGAGGACGAGGAGGAGGAATGTTTGGAGGCAGCAACTTCAACGGAGGCCGCGGGAGTAGCGGATACGGCAATGACAACAAGAACAGCGGACGCGGTCGCGGACGGTTCGACGGCGAGTGTCACTTTTGCCACAAGAGCGGACACATGTGGCGCGATTGCTACAAACTCCCTGATGGATGGACTCCTACTCAAGGCCAAGAGGGTAGAGGAGCAGGAGGAGGGAGAGGAAGAGGCTGTGGATGCCGTGGCGGTCGCGGAGGTGGTGCTGCAAGTATGAAGAGTGCCGGCAACGAGAGCGAGTCGAGGGACGATCGCTTTCCGGGTCAATTCTTCTTCGTGTCCACGCAAGCACCGGTTGGTCCAGAGAAGGATGAAGGCTTTGAGGAGTCAGCAGCTGTGGGAAAGGTCACCCTACACTCCCTGGACTATCGGGTGATCGATAGCGGCGCTACCTATAGCATGACACCTCGTGCGGACTTGCTCACCGAACTTGAGCCGTCACCGGTGAAGCATGTGACATCGGCTTTGGGGCAGCGAGCAGAGGTGAAAGGCATGGGCAAGGCCATGTTAAAGGGTGCTGATGGGAAGATGGTGGGCCTCAAGAACGTGCTTTGGGTGCCCAACCTTGCTGCGAACCTGATTTCCGTGCGGCGGTTGCAAAAGGCCGGCATGGACACGAGCTCGAAGGGAGCTAAGACCTACACCGCGAGGCTTGGCGAGCGGATTCTTTGGGACCTTCACGAGGATAGGGATGTCTACAACGAGATGTGGCAAATCCCTGTGGTCCCCATGCCTAAGGAGAGGCAAGTGGCAGCAAGCATCAGCACCAAGGGTGAAGCGGTTGGTAGCGGCGATGGCGCGAACGGTCGCGCTAAGGATATTAAGTCCAAGAAGTGCAATCTTGGAGTGACCAGCAAGCTCGGTGAACACGAGGAGAGTGGTGCAGCAGCCAAGGAGCAGCACAAGGGTGAGGAGAACCCCAAGGCAGTAGCGGAGGAGGAGTACGGAGAGAACATGTGGGGCACTATTGCGAGTGCGGCATTCTCCAATCCGACTTCGGCTACGGGGGAGTGTGATTGGCTCACCTTGCATCGGCGAATGGGGCATGTGGCCCTGCCCATCTTGCAGCAGCTAGTGAAGAATGAGATGGTTGCTGGCATACGTGTGAAGGGGGAGCCCGATGAGGTACTTGGCTGCCCGACGTGCATGCAAGCCAAGTTCACCGGTTACCCGTTCTCTAGTTCGGAGGCAACGGCTAAGGCACCACTTGATGAGGTGGTGATGGACGTGGTGGGCCCCCTGAAGCTTGGAGCTGCTGGAGCTGAGTACTTTCTCACCATAGTGGATGTCTACACTCGCATGACCTGGGTGTACGTGCTGTCCAAGAAGAGCGACGTGGCTGAAACGGTGAAGACCGATTGGTTGCCGATGGTGGAGCGGCAACAAGACCGGCTAGTGAAGGCAATTCGCACCGATCGAGGGGGAGAGTTCCTGAGCAAGGAGTTCTCATTATGGCTGAAGAAGAATGGCATAAGGCACTCCCTTACCATGCCATACTCCCCTGCAATGAACGGCATCGCTGAGCGAGCGAACCGGACAATCACGGAGACGGCGCGTGGGTTGCTCATTGAAGCCGGGCTACCCGACTTTTTCTGGCCTGATGCGGTGCGGAGTGCGTGTGTGGCCAAGAACAGAGCTTTGACTCATGTGGGAGCAGACAAATGGGTGCCCTATGTGGAGTGGATTGGAAGGAAGCCAAAGGTGGATATGCTTCGGGTGTTCGGGTGCATGTGCATGGCGCTCGTGCCTAAGCATCTTCGGCACAACAAGCTCGGTGCCAAGGCGATATGGGCTGTGCACTTGGGCATGGCTCAAAACAGCAAGGGGTGGCTTCTTTGGGACCCATTCACTAAGAAATTCTTGGTGAGCAGGGACTGCAAATTCATGGAGAATCTGATGTACAAGGATTGGAAGGCGGAGAATGAGGCGAAGATAGGCATGCGGTTTGGGGAGGTGAAGAGTTCCGGTTTGGAGCATGTGGAGCTGCCCTTGGAGCTGAGCAGCGGCAGCACCACCACAAGGCAATCTTCCCTTGTGAATGGGGGAGAGGAGGCCAAGGATGCAGAGGAAGAAGAGGAGGAGGTGCAGCAAGTGAGCGAGCGTGCACCGACACTTCCTTCTCGCACTACGAGTGCTCCACGGATCCGAGTCACCCCGCAGCAACGCCAAGGCCTTCATGTCCCTGCAGCTGAGGAGGAAGGAAGGGGAAAGAGGAGAATTCAAGCCCCTAATAGGCTGACCTATGATACACTGGGAAAGCCAGCCAAGTCAGCCTTGGCCGGAGCGGCACTTATAGTTGGAGAT